TCTATCTATCTATCTATCTATCTATCTATCTATCTATCTATCTATCTATCTAATTTATCTATTGGTTTTTCGAGATAGGGGTTTTTGTGTAGCCCTGGCTGTCCTGGAACTCACTCTGTAGACCAGACTGGCCTCGAACTCAGAGATCTGCCTGCCTCTGCCTCCAGAGGGCTGAGATTAAAGGCACACATCACCACTCCCAAGCTGAATGCATCTTTCTTAAATGGCTGAACAAGGGCTTTTGGTGATGTGGGCATCTGAGAGTGCTGAGGCAGCAGAACGGATCACTTTTCCATTTGTAGTGTGGGAAACTCCTTTGTTTTGGGAAAACAAGCTGAGGGGTGCCAAATGCCCTCACTTGGTAAAGGAAGGTAGCAACTCCATGAAAGCTCCTAAATGTTCTAGAAACTGATTAATGGAATGTCCAAGTCTAAGAGATAGTATGCCATATTAGCCCCTGAGCATCCCATAGAGGCCAACCTTTGGCAGCACGGCTATGGGTAATGCCACAATCCCCGTCACCAGCAGCCCTGTCCAAGGCATTCAGGTGCTCCTCCAGTCCAATCAGTGTGGTGCACACCCGCTCCAGCACAAGCGTCATCTGCTTTGCTCCTCCACCTAGAAAGGGAGGGCAGTATGCAGAGGCCTCGATGGACCTTCTCACAGCCAAGCTTGACCAGTGTGGGAGGTATGGGTGCCGAGGTCCCTGTATACCCCACCATATACCCTTTGATGCTCAAGCCAAAGTCCTGACCACAAGGACTCTTGGCTGTCCATCAGCAGGGCCCAGTACCTCCTGCTGCAGTGGCCTCAGGGGCCTCTGGAGGTTCTTTGGGAGCTTCTCGGATCCGCTTCCGCCCAGTCACAGACACCTTGGCCATGTGAGGCCAGGCTGTTGCAGTAGTTTCAGCATCTAGAGGCAGCCACATAACTTTTTCAGACAAGATCAAGTAGGGGCTGGACTCCCCACCTGGCCCTTGAGATTGGTTCCCTCAGCTGTCTGTAAGAAGGTGGCCTAAATCAGTGAGAATATACTGAGTGTCTGTTGCATACTGAGTGTAGGGGGGTGGGCATTCCCTGGGGAGAGGGTAAGGCAGATGTGAGGAAGACACTAATACCAAATTTACAGAGTCGAGAGCTGAAGGCAAAAAGGCAGACAGAGCATCTCTGCAGATCTAGAACCAGACGGTCTCTGTGCCGAGCCTGAGGATGGATGATGGTTCCTTCGAGCAATGTCTGCAGGTTCCAGGTCTCTCTTACCTATCAGCTTCAGCAGGGGTTCATCCACAAGCAGCAGGGTAAGGGAAACACCAGACATCTCTAGTGCTGACATGAAGGTGCCCACCAGGGCACGGGCGACCTTCACCCCACGGCCCTCTGCAATGCCAAGCACAGAAGCCTGTAAGTGGGAAAGGGAACTACCACAGAGCATCTTAAAAAGGAACCAAACAGCGAAACAAGGACCTTGCAGGTCGAGGCCTGTGATGAGCAGGGATATGACCTAATTCCTCAAAGCATTCCTCAGAGACAGCCCATTACCACATTCCTTGGAGATATCCCTTCTGAGGGACTGATAAATAACAGTTCTCATTTACTGAGTTCTTAGCAGGCACCAGACATCTTACATATACTTAGTCTCATTTAATCCTCATAACCATCCTATACGGCAGGTGTTGCTATTATTTCTCCCACACTCGGGACCTCAGCAGTTGGCAAAAGTAACAATTTAACTCAAGCTTGTGATTGCTCAGCTGATGTTCTGGGCCCTGATAGGACACTGCCTCAGCTGCTTATCTTACACTGAGGTTCAAACCAGGTTCAAAGAATTAAGGGAGCCAGGCTTGGAGACAGAAGCAGGAGGATATCTGTGAGTTCAAGGCCAATCTGGTCTACACAGTGAGTTCAGGCCAGCCAAGGCTATATAGTGAGACACTGTTTCAAAAAACAAAACAAAATTAAAAAAAAAAAACCAAAAAAAAAAAAAAACCAAAGGGCTATGGGTCCTCTTGTAGTGTGGGCTCACCCAGCAAGCGTATGGCAGCATCAGCGATGATGCCCAGTTCCAGGAAAGACAGGCCACCCAGATTGTTGACTATCAGCACCACTGAAGAGCCTGTGGACAGATGATGACACCTCAGTAAGACTTTTGGTGGCCTCTGCAAAGGGGCAGGAAGGGCGCGGAGACTGGGGACTGAAGGCTACTCACCTGACTGTACAGGCACATGGGATACATTGGAGGTATTTGTCATGTGGTCAAGCATGAGAGTGACAATCTGGTCAGCAGGTGCCATCTGTCAGGAGAAGCAGGAGTGAGCTGTTTCTGGGAGACGTCAGGGCTGGGCTGGGCTGAACAAGGAGTCTATTTACCTTTACTCGTTGAACACCAGCTTCCCCATGGATCCCTGTGGAGAGGTGTGGCCATTACTGGCTCGCTCACAGCCTACTGATTCTCTTAGCATGCTTTTATCAATGACACACAAAATGTTCAGCACAAGGCTAGTTACAATGAGTGTGGACAGTGGACAGAAAAGGAAAGAATAATGAAACACGGGACGACACATGGTGTGGCAGCAGGGCTAGCTGGGAAGTCAGAGGCCATAGGACACTAATGCCTATTGTGTTAGAAACCCACGGGCAGAAGTTGACATGTCAGTCACAGTCAAGGTGTCCTTTGGCTCAATAGGGCTATACACTGGGGCTTGAGGAGGCGTGCAGGATGATGTGGAGGAAGTGAGGTAGGAGGAACATGATGCCCTGTGTGTTCAGAGCCTGGGCACAGATGGCAAAGTGGAGAGAAGTCAGGCAGGTTATCTAGGCTGAGCCTTAAGTGCCCACCGATGAATCCAGAGACTGCCTGGGAGACATTAAGTAAGCAGGGAGGACCAGGTAGACAACTCCAGGAACTTAAAGGTGGGCAAAACTCAAGGCAAAGAGAAGGAATGGTTGGGGCACGGTCACCATAGACTTACCCAGGCCTAGTTCTACTTCATCAGCTGCGAGCTCAAAGGTGGGTTTGGAGCCAGGGACACTACAGGAGGACAAGCTCACCCCCAGGGTACCTAGGGAAAATGAAGCGTGAAAGAGATGGCGGTTCTGCTGCTGGCAGCAGGTGTCAGGATGGCAGCTGCAATGCCATCCTCTTCTCTGAGCAGGCTGTCCAACTCTTCATCTTAGTGATGAAGAGAGTCCAAACTCTGGTACCTATGGCTTCCAGGCTCCAGAGCCTCCTGCAGGGGACCTTCCCCCAGTCTCCAGGGAAACACAGGAAGGCTTCTGGTATAGTTGGTAGGAGCCTGCTCTGAATCCCCAGGTCTGCCACATCCTCCTATCCTTGGGGCTGGTACTCACCCATGGCCTTGGCAACCAGGCTCACCCGCTTTGCGATCTCCTCCAGCCCCACACCTTCCTCAGCCAGAGCACCTGCCACCTGTAGCCGCCCAGAGAGAGAGAGGGCGAGGATGGTGGGTGGAAAAGTCACTGGATCACTGGGAGCAGGAGAGAGTGTGGGGAGAACTTTCTTGTTGGGAGGGAGGGAGAATCTCAGGATTTCTACACTAAATGTGGTCCATCACATTTATGGTAGAAGAACGTCCTCTCCTTATTTACAGCATAGCTGCTGGGAGTCTTCAAGAGTTTCTGTTTGGGGAAGGGGGTGTGGATCCATGGTAGATTTGCCTGGCATGCATAAAGCACATTCCCAGCAAAACACACACATATTGTCATTCTCTCTCTCCCTCCCTCCTTCCCCCCACTCTAGTCTAGTGGAGCTGGAATGAGAAATGATCTTAGAGAAGGCGGGTGATTTGTTTGGGTGCGTGTCACACCGCCTGTTGCTGATCAGTTTCCTGATTCCTAGATCTTCGTCCAGAGCGCACTTTAGCTCCATTTATTTATCCCATTCATTCATCCAACCTCCTACTCAGTTCACCAACAATCTACTGAGCTGGAAAGAAGAGAGGAAGACTGAATCACAGGCTTGCTTTCAAGGAACTCGGAGTCTGAAGAAGAGAAGCCGGGACACACACTGAAAGTTAGCACAAGATGGCACATGGATCAGGAGGCTGAGAGAACTCTGAGAAAGGCTTCTCAGTAGTTCAGGGTGCTGAGGAGATCAGGAAGAGGATCACATGGAGCACGTCAGGAGTGAGCCAGGCCACAGAAGGCTGACCAAATAAAAGATATGACGTACATAAAGCCACAGAGGTGAGCTCCAGCCCAACAGATACAGGGAAGGACCTGTGTTTATGGAACATATGGGGAAAGAAGGGGTGCTGGGCAGTGAAGTCAGGACTGACGAGCTGGGACAGGAGAGTGGTGGTGAATGGCTAGGGAGGTAGCTCAGTGGTTAAAAGTACTTGCTGGTTTTGCAGAGAATCTAGGTTCAGTTCCCAGCACCCACATGGAAGCTCACAACTGTCTGTAACTCCAGTTCTAGGGGATTCAGTATCTTCTTCTGGCCTTCCCTGGAACTGGAGTTATAGTTGTGACCTACCATGTGAGTGATGGCAACCAATCCCAGGTCCTCTGCAAGAGCAGCCAATGCTCCTAACTGTTGAACCACCTCTCCAGCCTCAAATAGATAAAAAGAGTGCGGTGGGCACCCCCAACCAAGGGGTTTGAGTTGACTATGGGAATCCAAGATGCTCTCAGTGAGATGAAAAATTGGGCACAATACACAATTTGTTGTTTTGACACACGGTCTCACTATGTTGTCTAAACTAGCCTCAAGTTCAAAACCCTCCAGTCTTAGCCTTCTGAGTGCTGATCAATATGCATTTTAAAAAGACACCCTTGGGGATAGTGTGGGCAACAGACTGGCCAGCAGGGGTGCAGTGCGCAAATACGGGGCCCAGGGGAAAGGTAATGCGGCTGTCAGACAAAGAGCCATGATATAAAGTGAAGGACAGGATATGAGGAGGATTCGTGCTGCACCAGGAGACGTGCAAGGAGGGGGCACCTGATTACAAGTGGGGAGAGGAAGGAAAGGGAACTGGTCTATGAGAATGCCTCATTCTAGGCTTAACGGCTCAGACAATGGTGGGGACTTGGTAGGTCAGGGTAAAGAAATGACTGGTGCCTCAGTGTGCCAGGGTCGGGAGGCTAACCTTGTGGATAAGCACGGTGCCACACAGGCCACGCCGGCCTGCCTTCTTTAGAACAGTGAAGGCACTGTCATCCCCGATCACCACCATCTCCACAGAGATGCCCTCGGCCCTGGCCTGCTCCATGGCAAATCCAAAGTTGAGTCGATCCCCAGTGTAGTTCTTCACAATGAGGAGGGTGCCCGCTGCAGGAGCAGTAGCATGGTACCGTTAGCCTTGCCCTCAACCGCCTCCACAGTGCCCACCCACAGCATTTTCTCCAATATGCAAACCTGACCTGTGCCTGCCTGGGCCACAGCTCTAATGGCTGCCAGGATGCTGCCCACGGCTGGAGAAGCAAACACGGATCCTGCAATGACCCCTGTCAGCATTCCCTTCCCGATAAAACCTGGAGATGGAGAGAGGCAAGGCTGCTGGGTAGCATCTACACCTGTTGTCCCTGGGGCTTCCCTCATTCTGAGCTCCTACTGTGCGCTTGTGCTATGGTTAACCCTTCCATAGGAGTCATCTTGGAGGGACTTCCCCTGACTTCTAACCTTAAAGAACTCTGTCCCCTCCCACCATTTTCTGGTCTTCCTCCTGTTCGTTTTACATAAAGCTTTTGAAAAAAAATTTCCTGAGTATTTTGCAAGTGTGTGTGTATGTGTATGTTTGTGTAGGTACCACATGTGAGCCTAGTGCCCATGGAGGTCATAAGAGGGCAGAGGGTCCCCTGAAACTGGTTACAGATGGTTGTGAGCTGCCATGTGGATGCTGGGAACTGAACCCAGGTCTTCTGCAAGAGTAACAAGTGCTTTTAAGAGCTGAGTCACCGCTCCTGCCCCTCATTGTACATTCTATTGTATGTTAAATCCCTTAAGGCTCTCAGAACTGCTCTTACTTCTGTCTTCCTGTAGTGGGGCATTAAAGTTTTACGGGACAGGGTCTTGCCTGATCCACAGGTGTGCTCTGTATAGGGCCAGCTGTGCAGCAGGCTCGCTAATATGTGCTGAATGACTGAATGGAATACTGAGACGGACAGGAAAGGTGCGAATGACACAAAGCTCCTAATGAGGTTCATATCCCTGGCACCAAACTGGAAGCCAACTAGGATGGTTCAAGGGTAGGAAAAGGCATGGTAGGGATGCAGATGGATCCTGCTTTGGGCTGGCAGAGTCAGGGAAGTTACATGGAGGTGCTGGGTCAGCGGGATTGGAAAAAAAGGCAAGGAAGACTTTTGCAATCACCAACTCTTGAGGCTGGGAGAGCCTCACAGATTATCTGACTCAACCCTGCATTTCTAGAGCTGTAAGAATTTAGATGCAAAGACAGGCTGTGACCGACCTTGGGGCAGCTAGCAGTGGGAGGATGGAAACTGGGCCCATTCCTGACTCTGGCCTCAGCATTGTCTCTCTCTCTGGCACCTCATACTAGCACTGAGGATCTCCCAGGATCCCTACTCTGCTTTGGCCTGACCCTCACAATCAACACAAGATACTCACCGGCATGGGCAGGCTCATGGCCGGAACCTCCACCTGAAAGAAGTGCCACCCGGCCTTTGAGGCTGTCCAGGTCAGAACGCAGGGCCACACGGTGCCCTTGCAGGAGCTGCAGGCTAGGATTACAGGCCACTAACCCCGCAAGGGCATCATCAGCACACAATTCCACCGAGTTCACCAGCTTTTTGGAAGTCTGTGGAGGAGAGCAAGAAGTAGTTCAGAGTGTGGTCAGCAGGGACCCTCATCCTGCCCAGCAACACTACTGCGCCACATTTCCCCGGGAATCTCATGTCAGGGGAAAGGAATTACAGAAGTCACTGAGTGATTCCGATGACACAGTATGCCTTGCATTGTTTCATTACCAGATGATCATTTTCAACTTTTTATCCAGTGCTTAATTTATAAGCTTTTTGTATCATGGTTTCTGTCTATCCTGAGAAACAGTGTCAATGAAAAGCAACTGGGGAAGTTTGTGTCTTCACCAGGAAAAAATAATGAAGTTGGGGCCCTGCCTGTTTCTGTCAGAGGAGAAGGTAAGCTTTAGGCTGAGGCTCCTGTGATGGGGGAAGGGCATGAGCAGGCCCACACCCATCAGAAGCTACAGTTAGGTTTCACATGTTCCATCTGGATCTCTCATGCAGAGTGGCAGTGCCCAGTGCTAGGCCCTGCATATTCACAGAGAGTAGAATGCTATTCCTGCCCTCCATGGGAACATGAGTATCATTTTTACATGCTATTTAAGAGTAATACATACGTGCATGGTAGCACAGAAGAAAAGGACCTCAATCTCCTGAAGGGACCCAGGAAGTCTTTATGAAGAATAAGTAGGAAATATATAAGCATTGGGATGAGGGGTGGGGGCTACTCTGGGCCAAAGGAAGCATAAGCCAAGACATGGAGGTGTCCAGTGGCTCCAAGAAGCATCAGCGTGACCCAAGCAACATGGGGCTGGCAGGAAGAGGTAGGCAGCGACCTCACAAAGCACAGGAGGAATCTTGTTAAAGGAGTGATTAGGGTCAGAGCCTCAGCTCCGCTAGCCCTAACAAACTAGACACAGCTACAAGTCCTCAATTAAAGAAACAGCAGTAAAGAGCTGAGAACGGAGATTTAGTCAATGTACTTGTTGGAAAGAGGAGCAAATAAAAAAGTCTAGTGACCCCCCTTCTCCAAGTCTGTCTTCAGGGTACTGACTGAGGTTTGGGTTTCAAGAGAGAGCAAGAAGTATGAATACTCTAGCAGTTGTAGCTGGGTGTGGTAGGGTAGCACGTGCCTGTGATCCTTGGGTCCTCCGGCTGGAGGGTTGGGAGTTCAAGGTTAGCATCAGCTACCGTACAAAGTTTGAGGCCAGCCTGAGTTACAGGAGACACATATGTATCCCAGACACATAACAACTAAAACAAAACTGGTGGTGTTGGTGCACACCTTTAATCCCAACACTCAGGAGGCAGAGGCAGGTGGATTTTGAGGTCAGCCTGGTCTACAGAGTGTGAGTCCCAGCACAGCCAGGTCTATAGAGAGTAACCCTGTCTCAGAAAACTAACAAAACAAACAAAATCCCACAAAGAACAACAACAAACAATCCTTAAACAAAAAGCCTAACCATTCCTGATCAAGGTGTGGTTCTGCCCACCACTGACCCATCACTCTCTGCTCTTGTTTTTCTGACAAGGTGATCTGAAACATTGTCAGAACTGTGTGAGATCTCTTCTTGGCAGTTTCTCCTGACTAGCACCAGGGCTTCAGTATCTTTCCCCAGCATGAGATTCTGAGATTCCTGGGAAAAATTCCAATTTCGGGGGGGGGGGGGGAAGTATTGTTTTAACAGTCTGATATCTAATAGTTGGGGGAGGGGTGTGCAAATGTCTCTCTTTAGAATGTCTTTCTTCTTCACAGGGCAGTTACACTGTGATAAGTTAGGGCATGCTCAGGAGGGAGGTTAAAGGATGGCCTAAGAACTCCAGAGACTGAGTCTTTACAGGGAGTGCAGCCAGAGGGAGCGATGTGGGACTAGGGTAGTTGAGAGCTGAGACTCCATAGTCACTGGGACTTGGTATCAAAGTCCACTCCTGCTTGTCATTAGCTATGAGAACTCAGGGAGGACACATCTGTTCTGGGTTCAAGTCTTCCGCTGTGAAACAGAGGTTTACTGGAGTAGAGCTTGTACCAGCAGCAAGGAAAAGGCTGACTGAAAAGGACTTATAGTCTCTTTTGGGAAGAGGCTTTGAAAAGACACAAGGTCTGTGGGGTGGGATGCAGCGCCCTGACATTGTCCTCGGGAGGCACAGGAAGAGTGGAACTCAAAGTGGAACCTGAGGAGGCTGCTGGTGCCACCTACTGGTCGGCAGCTAGCCCAGGTCCCGAAGCCTCCTTCCTGAACCTGCCACTACCCAGTTACAAAATGCAACACTGATGTCTCCCTGCCAAGCTTTCCTCCAATTAACAAGGGCCAAGGCCTTAGCACCTGCTTAAGGGTGAGGACAGTAGTCCGGGTCAATAGGCAGCAAGCAAAATAAGATCGGCTCCATTTCTTAGGCATTAAGAGCCAGGCTATTTCTAAGTATTTAGTAACATGTCCAATTGAATTTCCCCAGTAACCACTTGGAGGAAAGATGAGCACAAAGAGGAAACTGAAGCACAACAAACGACCGTGCTGAAAGTTACACAGCCCGCATGGGCCTACAGCTGCGGCTTCATCTCAACTGCCTGCGGCTTTCCCAAGTTGCTGAAGCAGACACAGGGTGCCAGAGCTCTTGTCCTAAGGAACGCAGTGTGGGGAAGGAGGGATCGCTGCATACTGTAAAGTTCTGTATTGTATCAACTCCAAGCCTAGTCCCCAGCACCACCGCCCTTCCAGAGATTCCCAATCATCCCTGCACTAGAGTCACTGTTTTTCAGTAACCCCAGGGAAGGAAAAGTAAGAAAGGGGAGGTACCGTGTGAGGCCACTAAGATTCTAGTCCCAGCCACACACGCAGCAACGTGGTAGCAGGTCTTAATCAGCCACATTGCAGATGGGGGTGGGGGAGAGGAGAGGCTCGGAGGGCAAGCCTTCTGCATAGTAGTAACACAGGTGATGGGGGTTAGACTGAAATCTGAACCCAGATCTGCTCAAGATCACTTTTAAAACTGAGCCCAGGGGCATTGTGAGCCTCCCATACAGCGTTTCTCTGCTCTGGGAGCAGCCCACACATGCCTGGGCTGAGGAGCAGACACCAGATTGTTCTTTCTGTTTCCCCCACCTGACTAGTAAGGCAACTTATGACACAGCAAGTAACTTGTTGTTCTGATCTAAATGCATGACTGAGATCCTAGCCATAGGGGTTTCAAAGTGCCTCAGGCCAGCTCAGACCTGGCTTGGCCCAATGGCCTGCAGGAAGGGGAACAGGGATCAAGCCTGGAGATACAAAATGAAACTCTTGACTTCTGAACCCCAGGAGACAGCAGCATCTCAGTTGGGGAATAGGGAGATTCAGGGTGCTCAGAGAGAGGATCCCCATGGTCCTCCTTCTACTGTAAAACACCCCCGCCCCAGGACTCACCATGGTAGAGAAGCTCTGAAACAAGGTGAGCTCACACTTCTGCTCTGAGCTGCGGTAGGGTGGCCAATTGAGTGCTACCTGGTCTCAGGTGGAGGCAGTGGCAGCACCTGCAGCGGCGGGAAGAACTTGAGCTGTGGAAGGCCCTGGCAGTCAACTGGCACAATCATGCTTCCAGTGCCTTAGGAAGTAGGGAGCTGCCTCAGACTTTGATCCAAGTCCAAACTCTAATACATGGGCTAGGGATGGAGAGCAGCGTGGGCCTGGCCAAGGTTCACACCCACACTTGACCCAAAGGCAGATCAACTCATGTTGGGCACAGGGTTGCTTGCCACTCTGCCTGGGAGCAGCACCCACTCCCTCATCAAGGAGCAAAGTTACCCACAGATAGTGTCATATCTTACATGGATATCACTAACGGTGAAGATGTACAAAGACCTTGCTGGCTGGCCACACCAGGATCAAGCAAGCCCTGTGACCTTATTTTACTTCGGGAACACCCACTGAAAGCTCTAGTGAACTGTCCAAGATTGTACTAGTAAGAGGCAGATTTTGAGCCCACGTCTAGTCTTATTACAAAGCCTAATTAATGTTCCTAATGGTCATTCAGTTCTCCTCAGTCAGGCAGAGTCTGAGCTGAGGAAATCGGAGGTATAAATCACTCCAGTTAGACCTAGCTCCACTCATCTCTGCCTCAACTACTAGGGAGACTTTTAGTTAAACTATAAAATAGGGAGTTAGATCCGCGCCGGCATTTTACAGATGCTTCCGGCCTCATCTGCTGCTCCTTGTGGGGGTGGGGACGTGGAGGTTGTCTGATAAAGCCTGGGGCCTAGATCTGCAGAGCTGACTGCTCTGGCCACCTGGGTCATTAAGGCTCTTGCTATGAAATGCCGGCGTTGTGTTTGCGTTGGGAATTTGTTTCGCAATAGGGACACTAATAGTGCCGGCAAGTGATCTAGGTAGAGGGCCCTTTCAGGATGGTTGTTCTAAAGTCAGTTGAGGGCATTCGAAGGATTTGGAGGAGCTGGAAGAGTTAAGCAAAAGGAAAGCACGGTTCTTGTCTGGGATGTGCACAGATCTTTGTCACCTCTCTTCCCTTTCTAGTCCTTCACAACCCCTCCGGTTCCAAACGGGGGGAAACAGCCCCGAGGACTCCTGGAGCTATGGAGGAGGAAAAGAGGCAGAATTGAGAAAGGAAAGGGGGCGCAGATTGGAGAAAGGAGTCAGCAGGCGGGCTCTGAGTGCACGGCGGGTGTCGAAGGACCGACCCGGACTAGCGGAGCCCAGACCCGTCTGCGTACCCAAACGGCCGCTCTCATCCGGGTACTTGGGCTCCTGGCGGTAAGGAAAGGGCGGGGCCTCGGGGGCGGGGCCTCGCTTGGTTGGCCGTCTCGGGCTCCGTAAGTCCTCCAAGAGGCCAGGTGAGGCCGTCCCGTGATCCTCCGCGCCTGGCCTCTCTGGCCTGCAACGTGTCTAGGGGCGGAGGCAGCGGCCACGGAGTTGGCTGCGTGAGGGTGGGGGTTCTCAGTCTCTTTGCTCGTGCACATATCTCTAGCGTCGCTCTAGGCTCCCCACCGGCCAGCCCAAGGCCTCAACATGTCGTACAACTACGTCGTAACGGCGCAGAAGCCTACCGCAGTGAATGGCTGTGTGACCGGTGAGGCTGCCCCGGCCGGAGACCCCGGCGAGGGAGGGAACCCAGGCCTAGGGAGACTGGCGGCCCCAGGGGCGGCAGGAGCAAGGCTTGGGCCCCGGGAATGGAAGGCGCTGGCAGCCGCGGAACGTCCCTCTCAGCTCGCGACCTTAAAGGAGCTGTTTCACCACGAGCCTTTTGGGCAGTGCAAGCTGCTTTTGAGGGTCCCTTTTGCTCATAGGAGGTCACTTAGCTTCGAGAACCGGCCCAGGCCCGGTGGGACAGAGAGCGAAGTATTGAGTTGTGTGTGCATGCTGATTGAGCCTCGAAACTGGCCTCATGTGGTCAGGGGAAAGGGGGAGATGATAATGGGGACTTGGGATCAGAATTTTCCGGTGGTTGTGCGGGAGGAAGAGGAATTTGAGTTATTTCTGCACCCCCCTCAGAAGGGTGAGCAGCCCTCTCCAGACCCACCCTTTTGCCTGGGGGGGGGTGTTGTTTACTCGAGGGCGCTGCTGGAGAACGAGGTTTGGTTGGCCAGTCAGTGTGCAGGCTCTAGACAGGCAATCACACCCCCAACCAAAGAATATTCATCTTCAACTCATATTTCCCGTTGAACGTTCAGTCCTCAAACTCGTGTGTTTGTATAAATGCTAATTATGATTTCAGAACAAAAGTTCCTTGTTCAGAGAGCTAAGAGTGGTATTGGTAGGTTGCTTGTGAAGCAAAGGGGTGTGTAGACAACACAGAAAACTCTGAGAGTTTTTCTTCACTTTTTCTTTCTTGTGAAAGTTCTGGGAGGCTTCGGATGGGAACTTAAAGAGATGTACCTTTTAGCCATCAGCTTCAATTACTCTCTGCTGTTCTGATTTAGAAAAGAAAACCCAGCAGAACCATCAGAAGGGTTTTCGTGTTTATAACCTGTTGAGACAGGCTGTTGCCCATTATACGGTACTTTTTTTTTTTTAAGCCTAATTAAGGATGTAGCTTTGTTGAATGTGTGAAGTGAGACATTGAGGTGCAGTGTTTGGTGAGGAGGCAAGGTACTTAGGTAGCCTTATTTAGAGGTACGGGAAAGACCCATCCTCCAGCTTCCAAAGTTAGAGGCTCTCTTCTTTCAGGACACTTTACTTCTGCGGAAGATCTGAACCTGTTGATTGCTAAAAACACAAGATTAGAGATCTATGTGGTCACTGCAGAAGGCCTTCGGCCAGTCAAAGAGGTGGGCATGTATGGGAAGATTGCAGTCATGGAGCTTTTCAGGCCCAAGGTAAGTGTTCCTAGTTGGGACAGACAATGAAAGAACCCTTAGTTGTGTGTTTTATATGATTCTTTGGGGTGAAGGCTTAAGTAGAGAAGCATTCTTTTGCAAGTTTCCTATAAGGAGAGGTTTATTAGGAAGAAAGCTCCCAAGTTGGTTTCTTTTTCAGTTTTTTGAGACAGGGTTTCTCTGTAGTCCTGGCTGTCCTGGAACTTCATTTTTAGACCAGGCTGACCTCGAACTCACAGAACTCTGACCGTACCTCTACCTCCCACCACCCAGCCTTAACTTAACTGGTTATCTTAACAATTTCACCATTACAATTAGAACGATTGTGAAAACTGTTTTTGAGGACCAAGGTAGTAGGACTTTACAAATGGACTGTAGATTTCATTGTTAACTACAGATTTTTCTCTCCAAATACTTTGATGAGGGAGAAACATTGCATTCTTCTTTCAGAATTTGAACAGAGTAAGATGAATTTAAGGTTAGAATAGATGAGAACCTTCTGCTTACAGAGCCGAGAAATGGAGTACTGTGATAGCGAGGACTAGATGTTTATCAGCTTCAGTCTGGCCTTTTGTACATCCCCTTAGGGCATGTGTGAACTTTCATACGTGTTACAGGCTCACTGAGTGTTTTCTCGGTAGGGACAGTAGGCTTTGGAAAGTCCTTTAAAGGCACAGCATGCTTAAGGAATGTTTAAAAGGCTAGGCAGGTTGTTCCTGTTTTTGAAAGACCTTCTTTTGATGCTAAAATGTTGAATTCCAGGGGGAGAACAAAGACCTGCTGTTCATCTTGACTGCTAAGTACAATGCCTGCATCCTGGAGTATAAGCAGAGTGGCGAAAGCATTGATATCATTACAAGAGCCCATGGCAATGTCCAGGTGAGGTGGCTATTTCAAGCTAATCAATTTTTCTGGTAGGGCTGTCATGTTTCAACGAGGAACAGTGAAATGTCAGGGCATCGCACTATAATGAGAGAAACGAGTAAGCCCACATGGCTTGAATTGCCTAGCTAGTCCAAGGAAAATAATTCACCTAGCCAGCCACTCATGGGAAAAATAAGTGTATTGGTGTTTGGGCTCCCTGGCATGTCAGGTGCCCTCATCTGCCTGGGAAAGCATTGTACCCAGTATCTTTCACTTTGACTATTGAGCTTCTTCCCTAATTCCAGGGGTTTTTCCCCCCACAGGACCGTATTGGTCGCCCCTCAGAGACTGGCATCATTGGTATCATTGACCCTGAGTGCCGAATGATTGGCCTGCGACTCTACGATGGCCTTTTCAAGGTCATTCCCCTGGACAGAGACAACAAAGAGCTCAAGGCCTTTAACATCCGCCTAGAAGAATTGCACGTCATTGATGTCAAGTTCCTGTATGGTTGTCAAGCACCTACCATTTGCTTTGTCTACCAGGTACAGGACCCGAGAAAAGAGGAGGAAACTGATTTGGACTGATGGGAGTGGGATTTTTGCCAAAGGAATGTCTGTCTGAATTTGGTAGCAGGGTAGGGAGAGGTGTTGCTTATTTTCTAAAACATTTTGAACAAAACAGTTAATGTGGCTCAGATTTTTTTTTTAAATTCCGTTTTTCTTGCTTTTTTGGGTGCAGTAGTACTTGTTTGGGATCAGCAAATGCTGCTGGGTTTATAGCAGGTTTTAATCCAGAGATTATACTCCAGTTGTAGGCCTTGAGGATTTTATAGAGTGACCTAGTTTATCCTTTGTTTGAGTCCCTTACCAGCATGCTAGAGGATTATAAAAACTTGGCTGTAGAGAAATGATTCAGAACTTGCCTTTACAAGCCAAGAGAAAATACCTTGGTAGTGCCTTACTCTAGTCTTGAAAGAGGTTCATGTGTTGTCTAGCAACTCACTTTCTGGTGACTTGCTGGCTCTTGACTTCTATTTTAGTCAGTGCCTAAAATTTTAGCAGAGCTGATCCTGGGCAGCTGTTCTCTGGTTCAGATTTGTTAAGTGGGGGTGGGGCACAGACATCCAGACTAACATGTCGACATCTTGATAAAATCTCAGCCTTTAACAAAGGGCCAGGCTACATGAGGTCAGGTTACTTGCCTATGGTTCAATAAATGACGGAAGAAAATGATGGTCCACTTCCATACTGGATGTAGAGTATATGCGCCTGAGAACACTTATATAGATAGCCCTGCAGAGTAATGGAAATATGGTATGTGGTATTTTCTTACGTTTTTGCTATCATTATAATGCTATAGTCCTGAGACTGATTAACGTAAGGTTGAGTAAAACTGAAACTAGTTGAGGCTAATTTTATTTATCTTACTTATTAACTATCAGAACTGAAATTAAAAAAACTTTGGATTTCTTTTCTTTTTTCAGTTTTTATAAATATCAGGTCATTAAAACAGTGGTGTTGACTACACAGAGCTGATTCTGGCTCTGGCTGTTCCCAGGCCAGGGATGCCAATTGTGAATGCTCTTCATTTCTCTCTTTGTATCTCAGAGGCCCAAATCCATCTTCACTTGAACTTTTTGTGAAGATGGGTCTTTCCCTACTTATTGATGGATAAAGTTTTTATCAGCTAAAAGTGACTGATTATGCCAACAGTGGAATATTAGGCACCTTCTGTGAAAGGTGCTCTGCTAAGTACTTCACAGTGGCTGAGATGTTCTCTTTGCGTTGGAACATGTGATTAAATTCCTTCCATGGTTTCTTAGACTTTGGTCTGAGCTTGATTGAAGCCATCTTCTGTTGGCTGAATGTCGTTTTCTCCCCTGCTCTTTAGCCTCTTAAAGGTGACTTTGGCAGCCCCAAGACTGATGTGAGTCATGATTCCAAAAAAGGAGGGGAAGAGTCACGATTCAGAAAAAGGAGAGGAAGATGGAGTTGACAGTGGCGGGACTGAAGCATTTTTGACTACCTTTAAGGGAGCAATAAGTTCTGTTGTCTCTGCGGTCACTTCTTCAGAGTACTCATGAGAGTTGTGTCAAAACAGGGTCTGGGTAGATGGCTCGGTGGTTAAAGAGCTTGCTGTGTGAGCACTTAGACCAGAGTTCTTATCCCCAGCACCCTTGAAAGGACTGGTGGGTGTGCAGCCTGCCTGTAATTCTAGCCTTAGAAGGCTAGAGACAGGGCTCCCCAGGAGCAAGCTGGCTGGCAAGACTAGCTACATAGGCACTTTCTAGGTTTG